TCATACCCGACGTTACGTTTGTGTTTTATTTTGGTCACCCACGGTTAAAAAATTAAGCTGATGTGGTATTGTTTTATTTTTTTCTCAACGATGACATGACATCTTATGATGACTCATCAATATACTGTTAATTTTTTAACAAGTGACCAAAATGAAACAAAACTGAACGTTAGATGTGATTTTGAAAAATAATAACTGAGTTACTAAAACAAAACAAAAATAATAATTGGGTATACTAAATGTGTAGTTTGCCCATTGTTTTATCACAAAGGTAGCTCGCCCTGCATCTATATATAATGATAAATATACTTTTTATCAGAGAAAATGTTCCTTCACTTTGGTCGTACAACTTCAATTTTTATCGCCTAAAAAAACATGCATGCAGGGGAAAAACCATGATTTTTCATCATTAAAAGTTACCATTAGTGCCCATTATAGCCACTGTAATTTATAAATATAACTTTATTTGTTTAAGGTTAAATCTTTAAGATATTATTTTTAATTATAGAGTAATTGTAAACATTAAGGAGTAATCATTTAAAACATGTTTTAGTGAATCTATTAGTTTAAAAATAAAAAAGATGTTTAAAAATAATTATGACGACAATTACGATAATTATTCAAATATACTTATATAACTATACAGATTTCATGCACACCTACGTATGACGACATAAGACTTAAAAGTAAAACTTAAAGAAAAGAACAAAAACACATATTTACAATTTAAAATATTTTTCTAAACATTGCACGCGAAAGTGATTCTTTACTTTTTTTTCCGAAGAAAGAAAATGAGTTATATATAAAATAAATAATTCATTTTATATTAATGTAAAATTAAATTTATATTTTTTAATTTTTTTATGATTTGTATCTTGCTATTCGGTATTCAAATTATACTGATGATGGGAGACATGTATTAGGGGTGGACTTTTAGGAAGTTATATGATGTAAAATTAAAAAATTTAATAGGTATAAAATTATATTATCAATAAAAAAATACTTAAACTATACGATAATTTAAAAATACTAAAAATTCAACACCTATGACATTCCACTCAATCCATCCTCGATCGAAAATGTCTTGACCTTCAATTACTCTGAGTCTATTAGTTTTGCCCTAATTTTTTTTCTTTTAAATTCTTAGTCATGCCCCCAACTTTTTTTAGTCTGATTATTTTAAAATTATTGTGAATTTTGCAACTAAATAAATTAATCTCTAATTTTTTTAGTTTAAATTCTTTTTAAATTCATGGCGGTTTCAAAATTAAACAATTTAATCTCATATGATTTCATCTTTCTAAATCCAACTCTTAACATTGCATGTTTTGTTTTTTTAGATTGCATACACCAAATTTTAAATAAATAAAAATATTTAATTATTTAGTCCATATAAGAAATTTATAACGTTAGGTATATTATATAAAAAATCTATATATATATATATATATATATATATATATATAAGATCGTTGGATGAGTGAAAATAAATGTCTGAGACTAACTCCTTGTTCTTTTTTTCAATGAATATCTTCTCAATTTCTATTGTTAATCTTAACTGTCTGTTCTCACTTATCCAACGGTCTTAAATATGTGTAAAACTAAAATAGTTTTACATTGTAAAATAGTATCGCTATATATATATATATATATATATATACGTAAGTAAGATTACGCATGCAGTTGTGGAATTGGTGGGATTGTGGGCATAAAATGAGATGCTCATTGTGATAGGTAGCGTTGTTGGAAAGGAATTATAAAAGTTTGTCCACCATATGATACATACATTTATCAACTTCCCTTCATTTCAACGTTTTTAAAAGTTAAAGCAAAGCATGAAGATCGTCGCCATCTCTATATGGAAATCTTACAGAAAAATAAAATAAAGTTATATAAAGTCTATGTATGTCTACTGACTTAATTTTAAATCTTTGAATATTTTTTAAGAAAATTCGATACACTTCCAAAGCTAGTGGCATGTATATAGTGTACTATTCAGGAATAGATTAAGGGCGTGTTGAGGGGTGGTCACATCTATGAAAATTTCAAATTCTTACATAATTTAGGTTTTTTTTTTTAAATTTTCTGTCGATGATTTAATTTCATATTCCTGAAATTTTGTAATTTCACACCCTTTAAAATTTTAATATAATTCATTAAATTCACATTCTCTACATAAAATTATGCACCTGTCCTTAATCCTATTGGCATATAAAATCATGTTTGATGTGTTTAAATGAGTTCTTCTAGTATACTTGATGTTTGTATATTTTATTAAATTTTGGTAATGATTTGTGCAAGATTGTACTATGTATGAATGTGTTGAGGTAAGTCTTTATGAGTATGCATATTGCATATAGTACGATAGTGGTAAACAAATTCTAAAGGAAGCTCGAGTAAGTGTTGCAGTATGATTCATGTTTGGCTTCTGTGCCTTTTAGGCTTTTAGTATGTTCATTTGATTAAGATTGATTATGATCTCATAAAGGTATTAGATAAGTTAAATGAGGAATTTAATGAAGTTGTATAGATACTAAAATAATGAAATTGACGATGAAATGATAAATGAGGGTTAATATGAATGGTAAGATAAATGGAATTTAGAGTTCGTACGTGACTTGCTAGTTGAGTAGAGGATGTATGTTTGGTGATCTTTAAATGTTAAAAATATGTTCGTGTAGTTTATTTTGGTCTAAGATTGTAAATTAAGTGTTTAAGAAATTTATTTTGTATTTTTGGGATTTGAGTTTCGAAACTTTGAAATCTCAATTTCGAAACCTGTAGGTGATATATGATGGAATCTAGTCCCCATATATATGATAAGTATGACACTTTGGTCCCTTCACTAAGATACAAACAACATGAATAAAATATTGAATGGTTGTCTATAATCTTATTGAGGTTATATCCGATAATTTGTTTAATGAAGGTAAGATTAATAATCGAAATGGAGTTGATTATGAAAGAAATTATTAATTAGAGTAATTTGTCATAAAGTTAAATAGATCAATGGCATTGTCAAATCTTCTTATGAATTGAATAAATTGTTTGATTTGATGTTTGTTCTATTTTAAATTGTCATAGTTATTATGCTCCAGTCAAATTATGCTCTGGTATTTATAATTATTTTTTGGATAAATAATTAATTTAAAAAATTATATTATTAAAATTCACGAGTTTAAAAATTATTTATAAGAAAAATAAAATTATATAAATATATATAACATGGGTATCCTTAGATTTATATATAACTTTTATTATATAATTGATGCATGTCCTATTCCTTAACTTAAAGACTTGTCTCTTATTTTATTTGTATAAATAATTATTTTTTAGAAAGATTCAAACTGTTGACATTTTATAAAATTGAAAAAAACAAAAAATAATGATCTTAAAAGTAAATTATTTAAAAATATGGAACATAATTATCATTAACATAAGGCGTGAGGTGAGTTGGTTTTTTAATCGTTTGTTTTGGTTGGACTTTATTAGCCACTTCAATGTGATTTTTTTTATTAATAAAATTACTATTCTGTTGTAAAAAAATATGCATATTATTAAATTTGTAAAATATATAAATAATTTCAATAATATAAATATAAAAATATATTTAGAATTAAATAAAATTATAATATAAAATTTATTTATTTTAATTTTATAATGAGATCAAATACATAAAATAAAATACGAAAGAATTAAAAAAAATTAGGTAAGGTTTGAATAAGTCTTTATTTAAGCTACTAAAATCTAATAGTGGTCATAGATTTAATATATTTATTAAAAAAGTTTATATGTATATTGATTTAAACCTGAATTAACGAATTAACTATTTTTTTTAAAAATATCTTATTTTAAATTGTTTGTGAAATGACCATCCAGTTCAGTTGGTAGAGCACAAGGTTCTTAACCTTGAGGTCGTGGGATCGAGTCCCATGGAGGGCATTTCATAATTTGAAGGTCTCCTACGGAAGTTGTTCTCAACCTAGTGTTGGGGGCAGTCTACTATCTTACCTCCCCCTTACCTCATTATATATGGGAACAAGGAACAACCATTTTTTATTTTAAATTGTTTATTTTACGAAATATTTATTGAAAACAATGAAAATAACTTTTATTGTTTCATAATTTCACATATTTTCATTTTTTTTAAAATCATTTTCATAACTAAACATGCATTTTCTGATGTATTTTTTTTTCAGGAAAATAAAAACGAAATGATATTTGTTTTCCAAACCTAACTAAACCTTGATAATTTATAAGTCGTTCTTTGTGACCGGCTCATAATTATTGAATCCTTTTAATACGAGCTGAAATTTCATTCTGTCTACATTGGCCTCCATTGGAATTTTGGACCGATAATTAATGCGAAAAATTCCATACATTTATAAATCCATATAATTTTTATAAATATCAAGATCAATTATTGTATCGAAATATTGATACCCCTTGTGTTTTCCTTAATTTATATAAGGATCACATGAGAAAATGATCAAATCTTTGATGTTCAATTTGATAAGAGAAGCAATTACTTTTAATTAACCCATCAAATCAGATTCTGACATTTAAATCCAAACAATGAGAACCAATTCCCGAATTTGAAAAATGAGAAAAAGGGAAATGATCGTAAATATTTAGAATTATATATTCCATAATTCAGATATATATGGGAAATACAGCTTAATTATGTAAAATATGTCCAATTTAAGGAAAATCAAAGAAGAAATGGGTAATATTGGTTAGAAAAGAGGTAATATATTCATCGAGATTTACAATTGACAACATTTTTCATTAATCTAAGTATTAAATCTCAAATTTCATCAAATATATAGGGACTGACAGCATTTTCTGACAGAGTCTTAAAGCAAACTAATTCCTATTTGAACTCGTATTCTTTCTAAGCATTGTTTTACAGGAAAATCCTGAGTAAATTCTTCGTTACTAATTATTATATATATTCGAGAAACAGTCGTCTTTGGACCCTCAAGGAAACAGACTAACAAATCATACCATTGTTTTATTTTTATACATACATCAAGAGCAATGAAACGTTCTCCTGAATTTTCACTCCAATGCCTTCAATTCATGGTTATGGTTCTTTCGATTTTGTTCACCGGCACGGAAGCCGGCCGGCTAGACATTCCGAGGCTTAGCCCAACGAGAGGAACACTCATCGAGAACCCCGAAATTATGTCATCTAAAGCAGTTTCAGATGATCTCCAAACTTTCTATTACCCTCAAACACTTGATCACTTCAACTACCAGCCTCAGAGCTATGCCACTTTTGAGCAAAGATACGTGATGAATTTCAAGCATTGGGGCGGAGCAAACGGCAGCGCACCGATTTTAGCCTATCTCGGAGCAGAGGCACCGCTCGACGGTGATCTTACCGTAATCGGTTTCCTCAGTGATAATGCCATCCGCTTCAATGCTCTCCTCGTTTACATAGAGGTAAAAATAAAAGAAGATAATTCCAACGATAATCAACTGAAAATCTAACAAAAAAAATAAATTTTTTATTTAGCACCGATACTATGGGAAATCAATACCCTTTGGATCAAGAGAAGAAGCCTTCAAAAATGCAAGCACTCTGGGGTATTTCAACTCTGCACAAGCCATCGCAGACTATGCAGAAATCATCATGCACATCAAGAAGAAACTCAATGCTTTCTATTCTCCGGTGATCGTCATCGGAGGATCATACGGAGGAAGTAAGTGAGATTAATTAGATTATATATAATACGTTAATTAACATTAACTAATCATTTTTCTTTCTTTAATTCAAATGAAACCAGTGCTTGCTTCATGGCTTCGACTAAAGTACCCTCATGTTGCTTTGGGAGCTTTGGCCTCATCAGCTCCAATTCTTTACTTCGATAAAATCACACCAAGGGGAGCTTACTTTTCCGTCGTCACTAAGGATTTTAAGGTATTCATTACCCTTTAACTTTAATTTTTTTCGTGGATGTAACAAAATCTAATCTATATAGGAAGCGAGTGAAACTTGTTATCGAACTATACGAAATTCATGGTCGGTGATCGACAAAATTGCTTCACAACCCCATGGTCTTTCGATACTCAGCTCTAAATTCAAAACTTGCAAGTATGAACATCGAATTGTTGATTACGTTTCGATACATTCGTGCAGTCATTAAGCGAGAATTAATCGTTCCGTGTTGGTTAATTACAAGGCCATTGAAGAGTTCTTCGGAGCTGAAAAACGAATTAGGGAATATGTATGCCACAGCAGCCCAGTATAACCAGCCCCCAAGGTATCCGGTAACGGTGGTATGTGGGGGAATCGATGGAGCAAATGAAAAGCAAGATATTCTTAGTAAGATATTTGCTGGTGTTGCTGCTTATAGGGTGAATCGTTCTTGCTATATTAATCAACCAACCAATGGATCCGAAACAGCTGTTGGGTGGAGATGGCAGGTATAAATTCGTATCTTCTATCCATTAATTATAATATCAAAATTTGAATTCTGAATATTTAATTTTCGAGATTAAATACGTTTATATTAAGATATTGAAATTTTTATACGGAATTCCATGACCTAATAATTGATGTTAATGATATTAATGACATGAATGTGACACTACAAAAGCCAAAAGACACGTAACAAACTTTGGGGCAACATTTATTGTTTTGTTTGGTAAATTTTACCTATAGGTTATAAATGATGATTTAATCGAGTTTTTAACTAAGACGGCTAATTAAAAAAAATAGACCATTTTCCATATGGGTTCATATATAAAATGACCTAAAGATGAATTTTTTGCTTATTATTTAAATGAAAATCCTTGAATGATTCAAACTCACAAGTGGATGAATGATGGGACAAAATCATAAGGATGTTTTTTATTCAATGAATAGAGTGCACTTTCAATCAATGAAAGAACTCCTCGTAATTTTTTTAGGTTATAAGTCCCTGTGCTTTGTAAAATTTATTTATTTATTTATTGTTATGGTGCGTGTAATTTAGACATGCAGTGAAATGGTGATCCCCATCGGCATCGGCAAAAATACAATGTTCCAAGAACAGCCATTCGACCTAAACAGCTTTATAGAACAGTGCATGAGATTGTACGGCGTTCCTCCTCGCCCTCATTGGGTTACTTCATACTACGGTGGCCATGTACTCTATATTTTCTTCACATATTAACTTTTTTTTTTAAATAAAAAAATTCGAAATTTATTGATTAGTTTTTCTGATCATTTCTTATATGCAAAATTTTGCAGGATATAAAACTGATTCTCCAGAGATTCGGTAGCAACATCATCTTTTCAAATGGATTGCGCGACCCGTATAGTCGGGGCGGGTAATTATGACCACAATCTTTAAATACAAAAGTCAAATGATGAATCTAGTCCCTTTATTATACTTAAATTTATAATTTAGTCTCTATATATTAATTTATCTGTTTTTATAAGGTATAATGTCAAAAAATATCTCCAACGTTTGACTAAATAGTAATTTTAGCTCATATTTTTTTAAGTATTTTGGCCCTCAATGTTTCATTTTAGGGCAAAAAAGTCCTTAATGTTTTACTAAATAGTCACTTTAGTTTTTTTAACATTGGCTCATAATGTTTCATTTTATGGCAAAAAAGTCCTTATTTTGGAGCGTTAACAGTTTGTTGACTAATGGTTTCTATCCAAGAAGAGATTTTTTTGCCTCAAAATGAAACGTTGGGGGTCAAATGGACTATTTAGTAAAAACTTGAGGTATTTTCTTGTCATTATATCTTTTTATAATGACATCAACTATTATGATAAACGTTTAGTTGTATTTGTCTTAAAAGCAACCCTTCCACACATTAAAAAATATATAAGCATGATGGGTTTGACGCATTTTAAGCATAATAGTTAACGATGTTAATTAAAGAGATTATAAAAGTATAATATAGAGACTAAATTTCAAATTTTAACATAGTAGAGGGACCAAAACAAAATTTGACCAAATAGAAAAGAAAAAATCTGTCAACAATATTAATATTTTTTAATTTTTTTTAGGGTTTTGGAGAACATTTCAGAAAGTATTATTGCCATACATACGGTAAATGGTAAGTGTGGGAATATATTTATATATATATATATATGTCAATTTCATTTATCCCTTTAATTTTGTATTATAAAAAGGGAAAATAATGATAATTATATAAACAAAATGCAGGGTCACATTGCTTGGATATACTACCAGAAAAGGAAAGTGATCCCGAATGGTTAGTGAGGCAAAGGGAAACAGAGGTGATGATTATCAAAAGATGGATTGCCCAGTACTACGCTGATCTTAAAGCCATTCTAATCAAACAATAGGAATTAATTAATTAATTTCCACGGTTGAAATTTAATCAGCTTGCTTGATTAATATTTAATTTAATTAGCCGCAACTGTACTTGTTTTATTTAATGTATAACTATATGCACATGTACTCGACCAGACATTAGTCAATCGTTATCTTTGTTGTTTCAGTAATTTGGATTTCAACTGTGCATAATACTGTTGTATTTAAACATGATGTTGAAATTTATGTTTTTAATTTGGTTGCTTCTACTCTTCAGTCTTGTCCTAGTTTAAGATTTTGAGATGCAAAACAAAACAAAAGCTACCATATAAATCTATCCTTAAATTTTACAACTCCTATGTTAATATGTAACTTAAAGTAAAATGTTTCACATCAAATTTGAAGCGAGTTTCTCAAGAAACTCAACTGGATTCCCTATATAATAAGCAACTTTTTGTTTATTCATGCACCGGGCTTTATCCCCTCAATATATGTTTCGCATTTACAAGAAAGCCGGCGAGACTTGCCACCAAACAATACCAAAATCACGGTCCGAAATGGGACAAATGTTTGCTTCTGAGCCCCCAATGGCCTTTCAATCCTCATTTGAAGGTGAAATTTTATGTCTGCTATTTCTATTATATGGACTATATCAATTTAATTTCTCAACTATTAAATGGATCAATTTACTTGTCCGATTCAGCTTTCACGGATTTCAGGTTTGGTTTCGATTTTTTTGGATTATTTGCACAGCCCTATTATGCACCTCCATTAACAACGCACACAGCTGTATATCTGCTCATAATTGAAGGTATTATATCTATTCATAGTATTTCTTAACCATTAACAACGCACACAACTGCTCGAACTCAATACCTTAAAAGAATAAACATAGAATAAGTACGGCTTAGCCGTCTTGGTTATAATACTAATTCATGATTCCAAAGAAAAGACACGAAAAGAATTGATCTCTGTTTTGTTTTTCTTTTTGCCGGTAATTATCAGCCCCGTTGCCACTTCTTAAAAGTTACGCTGTCTAAAATAGACCTGTACCTAAAAACCTTAAATATATATGTTATTAGATTAGTCAAATATACATATGCTAATCGCTTTCTTTATTTGAGTATTTAAAACTGAATCGGATAAATTGCTTAAATTGAATAAAGTAATCGAATAAACTGAAAAAGTTGAGTTAAATAGGGTGGGTTTAATTAATTAACCAGCTTTGTATTCAGCCCTAAGAACACCAAGAGATATCCGGTTACTGTCGTATGTGGTGGCTCCGATGGAAATGAAGTGGACGGTGTTTGCAAGATAATTGGAGGCATCGTTGTGTGTGTTTCCATGTCAATCCATCATCCGGAATTTCAGCTGAATCGATTCCTTTTGGCCCCAAACACCAGAAGTGGTCGTCCCCAGCCAACTATAATAAAAAAATGGTTGTCTTTTGTTCTCATATGTAATGGGGTAAGGGGAGGTAAGACCTCCGAATTATGAAATGCCATCCGTGGGTCCACTCAATTGATTCCTTTTTGCATGTTCACTGACACCCCATCTCCAAAGCATCTCATAAAAACTGGTAAATGGATCAATGCCTTTAAAAACAAAACGTGGAACCAGTTCTACAATGATGTTGCAGAACGGGGAAACAGTGAACACTCATGGATGAATCGAGGTGTGTGGTCGTAAGGCAAAAGTTGTGGGTTCGAGTCCCGTCACTCCCGACCGATACAATTGAAAATTATATATCGGTTCATCCTTTCGTTTTCTATCAAAGGAATACAAATGATAAAATTTCATTTCTAACGATAGAGTGAAAAAGATATATAAAAATAAAGAAAAGAAATCCTTTTAATTGTATCAGGAAATTATTTATTTTATTCGATTTGAATAAAAAAATCTTCCTGCGTTATATTATTTAATTCTCATGGTAAATCAATTTATTTATCATTATATAATATATACATTATAAATTAAATATGTTTGAACTTATAATATCTTATAATTTAACTAAATCTGAGTTGGACGGTTTTGTAAATAGTTAAGGAAATGTATGGAAAATGTCAAGTAGAATTTTCAGGCTGCCCATGAAAGCAGATAATGTTTGATCTTTTGTAACTTCAAGATTCTTGAGCTCATAAGTGCTAGGAGCCCATGGAAGCAGATAATGTTCAGTCTAGAGAGCCCACCAGTAGTTCATAAGAGTGAGCAAAATTTTTCGATTATATTCGATGTTAAAAAATTTAATTTGATTTGTAATTTTAAAAACTCGACTTAATTTAAAAGAATTTTAAATAAAGTTTGAGTTATTAAATAAGATTCGAATAACCTAAAAATTTCTAGTAATTAGTGGATTGATTTTCAATTTCGAGCGAATCCCTCAACTTTACATAATATATATATATATATATATGTTGCATATAAAAATATGAAAAAATATATATATGTGTGTATCGAATATGGTTATAGAGAGATGTTTAAATTGAAACCAATTAGTCTTATAACATTATAAATACTTACAATTAAATTTAAACAAAAAATTCAAACAACTCAACTCGTCTCGACTCAAATCAATTAAAGAGTAGGACAATGAGGTGAGTGAGCGATTGATGAATTTGAATTAATTGGTTGTGAGCTCAAGCTTGGTTCAAGTCTTGGGTCAAGGTCGGATGAGTTGGAGGTTTGAGTTTAGATTTAATTTAAATCCGATTCGACCCGAATGAAAACACGTGCCAACAATATATACTCCAAAATCTCACATTTTTGTTTTAGTAAATCACTATATGTTTTTTACGATTGAAGTTGAGCATAAGTTAGGTCATGTACAAAATATAGCAAAGTCTCTTGCACCTAACTTATTTTGTATGCAATATCTAAATTACACAAAAAAATTATATTTACACATTTAAATCTATAATTTTTTAAAAAAATTCAATCAAATCATCAACCCTTGACTTTGTGTGTGTGTTACAAAACAATCACATAGCTTAAAATAACCAAATGGTGCACATATCTACATAATATGGGCATGAGCATCAAATAATTTTTAAAAAAAAGTGGTGACCCGCTCAGCTCAACTGGATTGGGTCCCATCCTTCAAATTATGTCAGTTGATGCCCCTATTCTATGCAAAATTCTGTCATTGTCGACTAATTATGAATAGTTGGTGCCTAGATATATCTCTATATATTTTATTAATCCTAAATGAAATAAATAATCCAAATACGATACTATAATCTAATAATCAATGGAAATATATTATATTAACAGGGTATTTTATCAAATTGAGCTGTACTTCATTTGGTTCATTGGTTGGCAGATATATTAGTTTACTGATGAAATTAAATAAAAAGTTATTTATTATTTTTTTGGATAATTTTTTTATTACAAAAAAAAGCAGGAAATCTACTACATAAACATCAACTTAAAACCAAACAACCATACAAAAAAAAAATACCAACTTAAGAAATACTCCACTTCACACAGGGACAAGCATTCACAAGATCAGTCCTGCTAATATTCCATCCTCTAAGTCGAATGTGGACTGCCTCCTTTATGTCCTATAACACATCACCCACTAATCGAGCTTTGCCCCAAAATGCTTGTAATTCCTCTGTTACACCCTTAATCCGTACCTGACCCGGATACGAGTCCGAGATGTCATACTAACTTTTCAAATCATTGACAATTAACAAGTAAGAAAAATTTAAACTTTTATTTGTAGTAAGAAAGTGGAACCCTTGAGTTAAAGTAATTAATAAAAACTTGCATTCATACTTAAATAAACCATTAATAATTTACATAAATACAAAAGAATAAGTTTACAAAATAGATCAGAGCATTTCAATTTAAACTCGTAGTACATGCCAATAGTTTACAAATTTACAAGAAACCTACATTTAAATTGTTCTGATCTGATCTTTGCAGGAGTATGTTGTCCTCGCCTATCCTCAATCTTCTGTTTTCTTCAAACCTACGTGTGAAACAATCACACGCTAAGTCATTGACTTAGTGAGACAAGTATGAGTCAAATAAAGCATTATATAATAGTTTCTTATTCATTTCATAGAAACACATTTCATAAGGGATTCAAATAAATTTTCATAACAAGAGTGTATACTTTTATACCTTGTTCGGATTATATAACCTTAATTTCAAATGCCCAATGTATATTACTGAGAACTCTAGGTATTTGAGTACATTGAGGTTATGCACTAATATTGTAACCACAACGCATATAATTGCACCGAAATGCCATATATTTGTCCCGAAAGACTACATAGTTTTGTCCCGAAGGATCACATAGGTTTGTCCCGAAGGACCACATAGAACCCTTGACTCTTGGCACATTAATTATACCTCCAATCCTCATACATATACCTTGGGATTTTAATCACATAATTATTTCTCATTTCGTTATTCATAGTGTGTCCTGTTCACATAGGCACTTTCACATTAAGTATTTTTGTATACACATATTCACATATCACATTCGCATATTCATATACACAACCATCAAAACATAGATTAAGTATTATAACTTGAATAAAACATTGAAAAATATAATAATAAAGAAATTGAAAGATTTTCGATCGAAAACTCTGAGGTTAGCTTATCGTAAGCCTCCCTCGAATCTAATATAAAATAAATGAGTTACACTCACTTTTGCCTCACTGAAGTCCTAAACAAATCCTTATCAATATTGATCGATAACTTATATCGCTGAATCATCCAAAATTTGTCTTCGTTCAATGTCTACACAATAATACAATCGAAATAAATATTGAAATTCATGTTACTTATTAACCAATCACAACAACTTAAGCTGAAAGAAACACCTAATTTATCATTTCAGGCGCACTAGTATAGGTACTCCTCCTACATTATCGATACTTCCCTTTTATGGTATCGATACTATTTTGGCATTCTGAAATTTCAAACTTTATAATGGTATCGATAACTAGGGGTGTATTCGGTTCGGTTCGGTTCGGTTTTTTACCAAAAATTGAACCGAACCGAAATAAACGGGTTTTCAATATTTAAACCGAAACCGAAACCGAATAGTTAAAAAACCGAAAAAACCGAAACCGGTTTTTTCGGTTCGGTTCGGTTTTTTTAACG